AAAACCAGTCTCCTCTTGGTTTATATCGAAATCCTCCGACATTTTTCTTTGCAAATCCTCGGTTTGTACTTCTAATTCATGCATTTTGTTTTGTTCCCTCTCCGCATTCGTCACTAATCACGGAACGCCGATGTGCTGCGTCATCCGCCAAAACTGCTTCAGTGTCAGCGGAAGTGAGAGAAAAGTGTTTATTACATTTGAAATATGGATATTTTTCTTACAAAACACATGGATTCGCTACAGGGGGCCTTTATTCATCCCCTTCTGCGGCACATTTTATTATGAATGCGCAAACTTTATTTGAGGATTTGTGGACTGTTCAACTGCAACACCCGCTGACTGCAATGATAGAGCTTGGAATAGCCAGGACAATTTTTAATATAACTCTGACTGGATTCATCTGAAAGAAGAAAGTCATATACACCTAGGATGCTTTGAGGGTAAGTAAAACACAGTCTAATTTTCATTTTTGGGTGAACTAACCCTTTATGGAACAATTATGTCCTTCAAGCTTTATAAACAACATAATTTAACAAAAATTACGCACACAGTGGTTTGTGTTTATGTAAATATACTTCCAAATGCAGTCGCAAACAAAATACAAACAGACAAAGAGCGTGCAACCAGCCATGGCAAACTTCTCAGCCCATATCATTCTTTCAGAAAAACGACGCTTAGATGGTTTAGCATGCTCTTAGGCCGTTTCACACTAGACACATAAGCAGCGCATATTTTTTCAGCACCCATGTTAACAGGTTAGAGCATTTGCACTGAAAGGTGAGACAGCACAGCACTGTGTAGCTGAAGCAGTGTCGTGATCAGTTTTTCATACTGAATTAAAGTGAGAGTGCACTGTTCCTGGCCAAAATACACATAGAAGCATTTAAGTTATGTCTAGTGCTTGTCAAAAAGGGGTCCTGGGTCCACTAGGGGGTCTCAAGATGACAAAATTGTTTTAAAAATAAGATAAAACTTTAATTATTTATTTATTTAGTTTGTTTGTTTGTTTTTGCCTTTCCTTTTGCCTTGCCAATATTGGAATGCCTGAATATTTGAGGTTGTCTAATTTTAAAAGTATGATTTCTAGACTTGGTCATGTGATATTTTCTAGGTATGCCAAGCTCTAAAATATTTATAATGGTGTTTTAAAAAAAAATCCTTATTCAGTAAATTATGAACGACTGAATAATCAAGTTAAAATAAGTGAAAACCTTAAAGAACATTCAGCTCTTAAAACTCCTGGAATCCTGAATGGATGATCATAACAGCAGATAAACTGGAGGAAACCTATTAGCCTACATGGGGAGGAGGGGCCATCAAACATTGATGTTGACAATGCATAAATGATTTTAACTAAAAATGTATCTGTGGCAAGGGGGGCGTGGTGCAGCAAGGTCTACGGCGAGAGAGAGAGCCGGGAGACCTCGCTGCACCACGCCCCCCTTGCCACAATATGTTAGGTTGAAGGCCTAAAATTTTTTTACCATACTGTATAATCTACACTACAGTACACAGCATGCTACATGGTTTAACATCTTATATGGTTATGGTGTGTGTGTGTGGGGGGAAGGGAGAACACAATAACAGGCTGATGATAGTCAGGGGTCAACACAATCAGCTGTGGTTCAGTTGCGCACTAGAAACACTGCCAGTGTGAAAGCACAGTGCATGCAGCTTGAATGCCGCTTCTGCTCTGTTTACACCTCCAGTGTGAAACGGGCATTACTGTGTAGCAATGCTAAACATGATGCAATGGAAAAAAATGTGGTATATTAACACATTTTGTACTATATTAATACATTACCTTTTCCTGAACATTCCACCCAAGACAAGCCAAGGCAGAGAGATAGTCCCAGAGTAGTTTAAAATACACTCACTGACGAATACTATTACAGTAGAGCATATAAAGAGTTCTAAACTTTTTGTGTTTTATATTAATTAACAATAAAGCACTGTGATAAACAAAGATCTAGAAAGACTTTGATTAAACACAACATCCCTTCCAAACATCTAAAATAAATCCCACTGTAGTACCCTTTATCAACTTTCCAACAACCGCACAAAGGACATGCTTACCAAATACTAAGGCCAGACCATGTGACGTCCCCACAGCGATCACATTTGAAACAGTCTGCAAACACAAAAGCATTTCAGACATGAAGGGATTTTTTTAATTTTTTTATTAATTAGAAATAATAAGAAAGTCAAATACTCACTACAGCCGTTGGCAAGCCAGCATCAACTTTATCCTGAAGAGAGATGGAAAGAGTAAAAGCACCAAATTATAAAATGAGCAACACAATTTCACTGGAATAGAATAAAATTCTGTTTGGAAGTGTCACTTATTTATAGCTCTCAATTATTAAAACAGGATTGTGCACCACTCACAACTGAACTGACAATGCCTGAATTTGAATGAAATGGAAATGGAAATAAATACAAAAAAAAAAAAAATCATAGAACTGCTATAAGTGTAATTATTAAAGGGGTCATATGATGCGATTTCAAGTTTTCCTTTCTCTTTGGAGTGTTACAAGCTGATTGTGCATAGATAAGATCCCTGAAGTTGCAAAGACTAAAGTCTCAAAACCAAAGAGATATTCTTTATCAAAGTTAAAACTCTGCCATGCCCCCCTAAAACGGCTCATTCTAACACGCCCCCACATATCTACCTCACTATGTGGAAATATTAGCATAATGCCACCCAAATGTTCACGCAAAGAAAGAAGGCGTGGTTTCAGTAACCGCAGTTAGTGTTGAAGCAGCCATGTCAGGGAGACGGTGTGTGTTTCTAGGCGAAAGCAAAAAAAAAAGAGCGCGAGAGAGAGAGTGCGTGACCGGGTCACTCACAGTGGAGTCAGCTGTCTTAACCATGGCTTGTGTACTGCAAACTAATACCAGCTTCATCACAGTGTCTGCCATGCGACTCTGTTCCCCTTTCGGGCTCTGTCTTTACATTTATTTTGAAAGATGAAGCTCGCGATTATGGTAAGGGGCGTTACATTTCCGACGAGTGCTTGCGGTGTTCGGCCCATCACAATGCACTGGGTCAGCTGGCCAATCAGAGCAGACTGTGCTTGTCAGAAGGAGGGACTTTGTAGAAAACAAAGCGTTTGAGAGAGGCGGGGCATAGAGGACCTACAATAATGTACAGTATTTGAAAAATAATGTGTTTTTTGAACATTAAAGCATGTCAACATATTCTGTTACACCAAATAATGATCTTTAAAAAAAGCATCATATGACCCCTTTAAATACGTTAAATAAATGTATCGTATTACATTACCCACAAACATGTTATAACATACATATGTACACACAGCATATTTAGTATAGCATGAGCAATAGATTAAGTACTAGTAGTCTTACCGCAGCAGATACTATCTGAGCTGAGATGCCTTTCAGCACATTGCGTCTAAGAACAGATCCATGTACTGTAGCATTAGTTTCCACTGCTTTCCTCCTCCTGAGGTGAACATACACAGACTAATTACTAAAAAGAAAATACTTTATTCAATCCCCAAACATGCATCACAACATCAATACAGAGCAAGTGCTGTTAATGTGAAGCCAGGTTAAGAAAGTGTCCATTCCTCTTTAAGTGTGTGCGGTCTCCACTGTCAGAGCTGGCCAGAGATGAGGTCTCACACGAGTGGGCGTCAATGTTCTCTGTGTTCAAAAGACATGTGTCCTCCAGAATGAATGGCTCATCCTCATCTTCAGGCTGAAAACAAGAGTAGTTACGAAATAGTTACTGTCACAAAACAAAGGCACTTTCTATAATAATTCCAATTTAAAAATAATAATAAATCTTGTTCTCTCTCTACTTTTGTGCATTTCACTTCTGCTCTAGTTACTGTACTAATCCAGCTTATACTTGAAACTTGGTATTGTGTGTAAAAATTGTTAGCTCTTATTATGATACATTTCTTGCAGTGTTACTCACTTGAATAAAAGCATCTACATTAAACGAATAAATCTAATGTCTGCTAAATTAAAAGATGTTAAAAGAATGCATACAAGATAAGTAAAAATACAAGGTAAACAAATAAAAAAGTACCATTCAAACAATTAAAACAATGGCTATTTATTACAATGACTGCTCTTACAAAAAGAACATTGTGGCAGTACCATGGTGTAAGAATGGTATCAGATGGTAATACAATATCCAATTAAAAAAATTAAGTAAAAATACAAGGTAAACAAATAAAAAAGTACCATTCAAACAATGGCTATTTATTACAATGACTGCTCTTACAAAAAGAACATTGTGGCAGTACCATGGTGTAAGAATGGTATCAGATGGTAATACAATATCCAAGTAAAAAAATAAATACAATACAATATCCAATTTAAAAAAAGCAATATCTAAGTACTATGGTATTTTCATTGTACTGCAGTACAAAGTCCGAAAAACATATTAGTACCAAATACTTTTTTTACTTTTTGCTATTTTTGGTTTGTGCAATACATGAATAAGAAAAGGGCACACATACTTTATCAATGAAATGCTTGAACTGAACACTTGATTATCAATGCTTGAAATTAGTTTTGTAGATAAATACATGATCATTCAACATTTTGTGGTCAGTACGATTTTTTTTTTTTTTAAAGAAATTCATCTTCCGCATTTATTCAGCAAATGACAAAAAAGGCATTTACAATGTCACACTGAAAATCTATTCTACAATAAATGCTGTTCTTTTGAACTTTGATAATAATAAGAAATGTTTCTTGAGCAGCAAATCAGCATATTAGAATGATTTCTGAAGGATCATGTGACACTGAAGACTGGAGTAATGATGCTGAAAATTCAGCTTTACATCACAGGTGTACATTACAATTGAAAATATATCCAAACAGAAAACAGCTTTTTAAACTGCAATAATATTTCAGAATATTACTGTATTTTTTGATCAAATAAATGCATTGGTAAGCAGAAGAGATTTAAAACTGACCCGACTACAAAGTTTGTATCAACAGTATATAAATTATGCCTACATATGATTTTCTTTACAAACCATGTTAATAAATGAGAGGATAATATTTAGTTTATAACATTTTTGGTCAGCCCATAATTGCCATACTTCCATTTATGTTGTTTCATAGTTTTTATGACTTATACTACTATTCTGAAAATACTCATAATGTGATGTAAGATGAAGATATCGTAAGATGACTGTGGAGGTTTAATAACCGGACATACTGACCTCATTCAGGATGCTCTCTAGGGTCGGAGGAGTGTCCACTTGAGGGATGTCAAACTCTTTATCATCAATCTAAGGTAAAAACGTCCTTCATATGAAATTATACATGTATCAAAGTAGCACTCTGTTTGCAATGACTGCCATTTTTCACTGTGAATATTGCAGGTTTCTTACCACACACACACACACACACACACACACACACACACACAGTCTGGTCAGCTATCCTTGTGGGGACTCTCCATAGGCGTAATGGTTTTTCTACTGTACAGACCCTATATTCTATTGTCCTACACCAACCCTACCCCTAAACCTACCCCTTACAGGAAACTTTCTGGTCTATATTTCTCTTTTTTATCCACACACACACACACACACACACACACACACACACACACACACACACACACACACACACACACACACACACACACACACACACACACACACAATAACAGCTTTACATGTACAAAACTTTCACATTTACAAAAACATATTACACAAATCACGAATTCACAATGAGAAACGAGCACATATTAAACGCGCTGATCTCAAGCGCGGCATTAGTAAAGTGTCATTAAGAACAACACGAAGCTTGTAATGAACCAAATTCAACAAAACCACAAACACCGAAGCAGTCAATCTCAGTCTTACCGCCTCTATTTCCATTAAATTGAGCTGTGAGGACGCAGAAACAAGACTGCGACTGTCCGGAGATTCAGTCATTATACAGTCATAGATTAGCTGTCGATTGTAATATCCTTTATATGTTTATCAGTTGTAGTCATACTGCTCTGCAGCAGCAGTTCACATCCCTGTTAGTGTCGGAAGAGGCGGGACCTAACGGCTTACGTAACCATTCCACTTCCTGTTTATAAATCACATTTTAATTTAAATTTAAATCGTACAATATCATTGTCTATAATTATTCTTTTTATACAGTTTTGTGTATTGTTTTTAGTTAAAAAAAAACACTTTTTTCCCCACTACCTTCTTTATTCAAGCGTAATTGCGCTTGGATTTAATGTTCCGACGCAACAAAATAATATGTTTTTAATATTATTTTATATTATAACAAAATCATATATTTTTTCTTTTCTTTATTACTTTTGTTAACTTTAAGGTCCAGCTGTAATATTTCAATTTGAATACAGTTCATGTACTGCGTTATTTGCAGGATATATGCCAATAAACATTTTGAGATCATGGCATGCACTCCAGAAAAACGTCTTTTCAACTAAAGTGGGCCAGCTGGTCTGGTAAAGTGGGCCATCTCGTATTCATCAAAAGTTATTCTGCATCTTAATTTTAAAAACTTAAACACATGTTATCAGACAAACATATTTAACAAACCCAAAAATATATAGCCTAATGTATGTTATTATAAGTAAAATAAATCATTTGTATATCCACCTTAACTCATGTGTGAAATTCCAAATAACTGAAAGAAAGAACATGTTGTGTTGACATTAAATTTGATGAAAGAAATTAGAATATTGATTTAAAAAATCAACTCTACAATATATTAAAAACACAAGCAACAACAAATAGGCTAAAAAATAATAAGAGGAACATTTAAAATGGCAACCATGCGTAAAAATTTAGAGAAAGACTATCCCTTTAATTATAAACCATTGTAATGCTCTGAAAGGATAAACCCACTGAGCACAGTACAATCAAACTTAAACGGCCCACTATATAGCCTCTTTTATATATATATATATATATATATATATATATATATATATTATGAACTACACCTGCTTAGCTTTTTTACGGATTGAATTGTTGTTGTTGTTTTGTAGAGTTCGAACAGAACATTAGCTTATAGGCTTTATACAACTTTACATGTCACGCAAAGGAGGAAATTACGGTTGAACAAAGATAGCTAGTGAAAAAAGAAAATACAATTTACACTAAAAACAAAACATTAAAACATTTTTAAACATTCTATTGATATTAATATTAAAATTGGACGAGTTACATTCAAATTAGATTGTTTTAAGAAGCCCACAAATAATATATTTACGAGGCGTAGCCTATTCTTTCAGTCTAGTAGACGGCTCCGTGATCTCACTGCAGGGGTTTGCTGCCCCCGTGCGTTTATGATTGTACATTTCTGAAAGATTTTGAATGGTTCATCAAACCTGGGGCAAGTTCAAGCTCAATCCGGGGTGCACCGTTTTGCTACGGTTTCCGGTTTGAACGACATGTTTCCTGGAAACGGTGTGCAACGGGGTTTGAGATGCGTTTTCTCTTGTTTGGTGGGTGTGTCAAACATGTCAGCCCAATCAGCAGCAGCATGTACAAACCCAATTCCAAAAAAGTGGGGACACTGTACAAATTGCGAGTAAAAAAGGAATTGGAGGTAAGAAGTGGATTATCCTTCACCTGAAATGTTTGTCTTTTCATCCTGAAATGCGAGGCAAATGTTGGATCACAATAATTAGGAACCACAGTTTCCACAAATCACTTCACTCGATTGGGATGTTCTCTTTTATTCTGGAGGGCAAGGGCAGTGACTGTACCATCGAGTGTATTTTGCAGTATTAAACACCTATTTATACCAATTTCATCAGGCTCCGAAAATTCTTCAAAAAGAACACAAAGAATGGCCTTCTCAGCTGCCATAGTAGCAACTCTTGCGTCATCAGAACAGGGTGTTCAACGCACCACTGTTTCCGTTTAAAAAAAAACGTTTTGCACCATTTTTTGTCTGGGCTGAACGCAGCCCTGGTGCCGTTTTTTTTGCAGGGAGAACACTTTCTCGAAAATGTTTGCCTAATTTGAAAAAGTGTAGCACTGTGAATTATTTTGTATGCTTTTTGTTACAATTTACCAATCTCCATTCATTAGTACTCAGATAAAAAATCAGGCCATTCTATTCATAATTTCTACCACAATATGCACAACTGCTCCTCACAACACTAATGCTTTCTTTCACGTTGCTTTTAACGCATAAATTGGCACAATGTAGCCTACTCGATTTAAATAATGGTTAGGCCTATAAATTGATTGGGTCACATTAGATTTACTGTCACATCGAGCTACATTGCAGTGACAGTTCTTTTAAAAAAACCTAACTGCTTATGAAACGGTAGTGTATAATGCATGAGCTAGATACGGTACACTAACCCATCCTTTGTTAATGAGAGACCTTTTCCTCTTTTCATCTGCTGGCAGAGATACACCAGAGACAGCAGGCAAATGTCAACCTCATCACTCCGTTGCTCTGAAAAAAAGACACTGGTTCTGTGTCGTTCGTAATGACAGACCTCACATTACTGTTACTGCTCTGTTCACTTTCTTTCTGAAATGTGGAAGAGGTGTGAAAATAAAATTCCAACAGGTGCAGTCACTATTATTAATGCTAAAAAATCAGCAAGGTTCATTTGTTGTCTGAAGTAGTAAAGGAATGAGATACAGTACTATTTCGGAGATATTTCAGTTCTCAGGGTTCCATGCAGGAGAAGTATTTGATTGCTAGTCACAGATGGATGATCCTACACAGCTCTCTGTTTGGCTGAGAGAAGATCTGGAGAGACAGGGTGGTGTTTCTGGCTCAGGTCCGCGGTCACCATCATGCATATATTTAGAACCAGCATCTCCAAATACTTTCCAAACAGATAAGACCTGGTCCAAAATCTCTTTAAGACCAGATTTCTGTTTTATGCAATTGCATTGTTTAGGCTATTGTATTGCAGTCTATACGGACTCTTCATTTAATAAATGCAATGAAAAAAAATTGTTTTAATTTCTTAAGACTCCATACACAGGACTGCAGTATTCTTGAGGATGTTTGTGCAAAAGAAGGGCAAACATCAGCTATGTTAGTATGGTATCAAAAGAACCCTGTGCTTGTGCGGGAAGAGGATGGGTAAACCTGTGTGAAATATAGATAAGCATGGATGAAGGAAAATTGTTCTGTATTTGGTAAGATCGGCATGCTTGCTTGCGTGAGTTGGATTTATAAATGATCTTTAAGACATGCTTGAAAAGGTAGGAAATATCTATTTTATGCATCCAATCAGACAATGATGCAAACTGACTAACCATCAGAGTTCCTTTGAGTGATACTAATAGTTGGATTAACCAAAAGGCTCACAAAAATCAGGGGTTACGTTGTGAAAACTTCAAGGCTGCATTAATTGGATCAAAAATACAATATTGTGAAATATTTATTCCTGTGATGTCAAAGCTGAATTTTCAATATAAACATACAGAACTGTTTTGTATATATATCCTCCTGGGACCTAGGCATAGACATTTGTCATTTACACATTATACATTATATTTTAGCACATTTCTAAAACATGCCACAGTTTCAAGTCCTTTACAAAACACATTCAGGTTTTTTTTTTTAGAGATACCAAATGTTTGGAGGTTTGACCATAAACACTCCCTCTCCTTGGTTTTTAAAAATGACTGATATTGTCCAAATGATCAAACTTGGCACTCTTATGGAAATATGATAATATTTTGTAATTATCATTTAAATCTGATTACTTTCCAAATAGTTTGTCATAAATAAACATCTCAGGAAAACATTATGTTGTTTCAAAACGGAATATGACTGTTTGTTACAAAACAGGGCTTCATTTTCATACATGTCTTCTGTAGAGGACACCCGGACATACAGTGTGTTCATCAGGCATTTTGGGGAGACAAAACAAGTGAATAGGGAAAGAAATTATAGATACATTTTCCTATGAAACATGATATATTCTTATGAAAATGTTGCCAAGTTATTACTACCATTATTACACTTCTTTTTTTTCAACATATTAATCTAC